GGAGAACCGTCACCTTCTGAAGTACCCTTACGCTGTTCCCAGTGACCCTTAAGTCTTCAGAAGCACTTGGGTGAGAATAATGCTGAAATCCTGTAGCTATTTGGCTCAAAAGAAAAGCCACACTGCCATGGTGATAAAGCTCCCAATTGAATAAGGAAAATGGCAATTTCCAGGAATCTGGGTGGTAGTTATTTCAATCAGGTTGAGAAATGGGATCCCTGAAAAGGGGATTTCCACAGTGTCTAGGCTGTCAGGGGAACAGTTCCTCCCTACTGCCTTCTGCTTGCAAATTCCAGGAGAGGAGCATGAGGCAGAAGGTTGTGTCCCTGTCCTCAGTGAGGCGGGTGGTACACAGAGGCCTGCCAGCCTACTGCTTTACAGTTACACTCTAGTTTCTCCTTTTTGAAATACTTCCCATACTGAACACAGATGCTGCACGTGTGTTAACATCCTTCCTAAAATCTGAAAATACAAAAAGTACAGAAATACACCGTAGTCTATAAGCCTTTGTTCTTGGGGAAGTCGACTGGCCGTTTCCTTCATCTTCGTGTCTTATCAGACTCCTTGAGGGGGTGGTAAGACGTTTCTCTCTCTTTTCCTCTCTTTCGTTTATCCTAATGGGACAAATAGTTGCTGGATTCAACAACATTCTTTCCGAAATGATTCTTAAGGCATGAGGGTCACCAAGATTTATTTTTAAACTCATAACCTCAGGCTGAGGGAAAGCAGTTGTCCTTACTGAATTCCCTGTAGGGGCTTCCAGCTGCCTAGACACCCCATGTCTTTATGGGGCACATTCCAGCAGTCTTAAGCCCTGGCCCTTGGAGTGAAATCTGGTCTGGCGTCTCACTCATGGAATCCCTTCATGAGCCATGGCTGTGGCATGAATTAGGTGTCAGATTGGAAAGCTGAAGGAACAGGTGGCCTGTGAGCTTAATATAATACTTCCGGCATGGTGAAGTGGTTTTGGAGCCTTATGCTTGTTGAAAGTTTCCTCTGCTTTCTCGTTAGCTGCAGCCATCTTTTGATGGTCACATTAGTTCCCCTCCTGGGTTTTCTAGGGGCATGCTGGAGGCTGTCAGGAAAGAGTTAAACCACATTGAACTTGTGGAGAATAATTAAACAAACAGTGATTAAGTGATATTTTAACTTCTGCTTACCGGGAGAAAAAATTTGTTTTGTAGTTTTGACTGGATTTATCTTATCTTTGTTGGCCAGGGTTTGCCTGCCCTTCTTCAGTTTCATTTTTAGCTGTAAGATGAACTCCCCCACACACTTCTTTACTGATGTCCATCTTTGTCTTTGGTCATATTTCTCCCTCTTCCCCTTTCCTCTTTACCCTTCTCCCCTACACCCTCCACTTCACCTCTGCCTCTTTCTCTCCCTCCCCTATATTGCTTTAATTGGTCTGAGAAAACCAGTTCCACTCAGAACAGTTGGAGTGGGACTCAGCTGCCCTTCTGTGTCTTCTGTTACTTGAAGGCCTTAAGATGAAGCTTAGATAGAAGATTTGGGGTATTTGGAAAGCCACTGGACTAGTGGGAAAAGTGCCAGATAAGGAATTGAAGATGCCTGGGTTTGAATCCCAGCTCTGCTGCACACTAGCTGTATGATCTGAACACATTACTTAATCTCCATAAGTCTCAGTTTCCTCTTCTGCAAAATGGGAATGATAATTCCTTCCTGAAAGAGTAAGAATTAGAGAGGATTAGAGTTATGTATGCAAAGATCACAGTAAGCATTTAATTTTGTTTGAAAGTGGGAGCTTTGCCTTTTGGTTGAAGGGGTGAGAGTTGATGTTAGGGTTTAGACTACCTTTGGTTAGCTTTTTGCCTATTTAACTATATATTAATTATATAGTTTGTGTATTATAATACATATTAAGACTTATTATTGCTTCTGTTCTTCCAACTAGATTGCTACATACAAGTCCATTTTATATAAAATTTCTGATTCCCTACCCTGATACTGATGCAAAAATTTATTTCTCTCAGGGATGATTTGTGGCCAAATTATATAAAAGAAGATGTAAGTTAATTTCAGAACACTTTTTAATTTTGTCATATTTGAGGCATTTGTGGTAGAGAAATAGATCATAGTTATTCCATCCTTTTTCCTTTACTGAAGTAGAATGAGCCAAAGCCATTGGGGCCTGGTGGAGCCCAGAGCCTTTGATGTTCCTTTCAGCCTTAGTTATGTTGGCTAAGTCTCTAGATCTAAGGATTTAGAGTGCTCAGCTGTTTTAAAAACTTATTATAAAGCATAATGTGTTGCTCTACAGTATGAAAGATATATTGTGGCTTTATAATCAGTATCTTTTAGCATGTTACTTTTTTGGGGGAGGAATCTTCAAAATCAAGTGTGTCCAGTATGCTTAGTATCTGATAGAACGTAAGGAAATTTGAGTATTTTTGTCTCAAATTATCAGAAAACAGCGGCTCAGATTACTTTTTGTGTGTTCATGATTTGGAAGACTTAAAATTGTTAAGATGGCAGTACTCCCCAAATTGATCTACAGATTCATTGCAGTCCCTGCCAAAATTCCTCTTGGCTTTTTTTGCAAGAATTGACAAGCTGATCTTAAAATTCATATGGAAATGCAAGGGACCCAAAATAGCTAAAATAATCTTGAAAAAGAGGAATAAATTGGAGGACTCGCACTTTCCAACTTGAAAACTTATTACAAAACTACAGAAATCAAGACAGGGTGGTAATAGCATAATAAAAGATAAATAGATCAATGAAATAGAATTGAGAGTCCAAAAATAACCCTCTACATTTATGGTCAATTGATTTTTGACAAAGATGCTAAGACTATTCAATGTGGAAAGAATTCTCTTTTCAACAAATTATACTATATGCAAAAGAATGAAATTGTACCCCTATCTCACACCATATACAAAAGTTAATTCAAAATGGCTCATAGACCTATATGTAAGAGCTTAAACTATAAAACTATTAGACAAAAACTTAGGAGTAAAGCTTTGTGACCTTGGATTAAGCAATGGTTTCTTGACTATGACACCAAAAGCACAAGCAACAAAAGAAAAGAAAAAAATATGTGAATTAGATTTGATCAAAATTAAAAACTTTTGTGCTTCAAAGGACACTATTAAGAAAGTGAAAAGATACGCAGCAGAATGGAAGAAAATATTTGCAAATCATATGTCTCATAAGGGACTTACGTCTAAAATGTATAAAGACCTCCTAGAACTTAACAGTAAAAAGACAAATAGTTTAATCAAAGTGAGCAAGAGATTGAAACAGACATTTCTCCAAAGAAGATATGTATAAATGACTAATAAGCACGTGGAAAGATGTTCAGCATCATTAGTCATTAGGGAGGTGCGAATCAAAGCCACAATAAGATACACTTCATACCCACTAGAATGGTTACTATAATCAAAACAACACAGCGAGGATGTGGAGAAATTGGAACCCTCATACACTGCTGGTGAGAATGTAAAATGGTATAGCTGTTTTGGAAAGCAATTTGGTGATTCCTCAAAAAGTTAAAGATAGAGTTGCCACATGATCCAGCAATTCCACTAAGTATATATCCAAGAGAAACCAAAATGTATACCCAACAAAACGTGTACGCAAATGCTTATAGCAGTGTTATTCATAATAGCTCAAAAATGGAAACCATCCAAATATCCATTAACTGATGACTAGATAAAATATGGCATCTCCATACAATGGAATATTATTCATCAATAAAAAGGAATGAAGTACTAATTGGTGCTAACATGGATCACACTTGAAAATATGCCATGTGCAACAACTTGAAAACATTCTGCTAAGTGAAAGAAGCTTGACACAAAAGACCACATACTGTATGATTCCATTATGCAGAATGGGCAAGTTCATAGAAACAGTAAGTAGACTAGTGGTTGCCAGAGGTTGAGGGGTGGAATTGGAAGTAACTGCTAATGGTTTCTTTTGGGAGTAATGAAATGTTTTAAAATTACATGGTGGTGATGTTTACACAACTCTGTGAATATACTTCTGTTGAATTATATACTTTAAAAAGGTGAATTGTATGGTATGTGAATGAAATTCAATAAAGCTGTTATCCAAAAAATTTAAGGTGATTTGTATGTCTGAACAGGATTTTGTCAGTTTGCACTTGACCCTTTAATCCCTGCCGCCGTGAATCTCTAAATTGGAACATCACTGTCTTGAGCACTGGGCAGGTTACTCTTGCCCCAAAGCCTCAAGGTAAGAAATTTAGGTTTGCAATTACTTCTTACAGGAGAATAGCTGATGGCACTTTGTGTGGGGAACCAAACCTTTTAAGGTGAATGCTCTAAGGTTGAAGCCTCTCCAAGTTTTAAGCGTGACTGCCTGTGCCCTACCCAGTTCTCATTTATCCTTTCAACTATGTGTCCCACTGGAATAGACAGTTTATGTTTTGGGCCCCATGCCCCATTCCCAGCTCCACCTGACTTTTCGTTTCGTACATTTTTCCTCCAGGCTGTTGATCTTGCTCTAAGGCATTCTTTCCTGGGAGATATGGAGATAGCTGGAGGAGCCGCTGGGTGGCGCCCTGCCCCCAGAACATTGGCAAATGAGAATGACTTGCCTGGAAGAGGCTTAGGTCAGTGTTGGCGAGAAGAGATGATTCATTTTTCATCAAAGGAATTTCAAAGAAAACATAATGACAAGATGATGTCAGAGGAGCAGGTAGAGACAAGAACCTTGATGGAGGTGCTGGAGGATCGTGTTGGATAGTATGGTTGCTTGGGTAGTCAGAATGAGTGACTGGCATAGATCACAAGAAACGTCACCTGTTTTTCAGTTCCTTTTTCATGAGCCCTGGTGTGGGCGGTGCTCGGTGCCTTCAGAGCCTGTGGTCAAGTCTGTGCCTGCCTTGGTGTACTGTGTTTGTATCTCACTGAGACATCTCATGACATCCTGTGCCAGTCATGGACTTATTTCATACACAGTGTGGTGTGTATGGGTTCTTGCACAATGTGCATCAGCTCCGTGGCTCACAGGGTCTGTGTCTGAGAATTGAAAATCACATAGTGGCTTGAGGTATGGCAATTTCCCTGATAATATTAGATCCAGGCACTTGCCTAGATATCAGAAGGTCAGATCTCAGGGACTTTAGCTTATTGCCAAAAGTACTCTGGTTCCCTCCAGTGCTCTAATCTTAGTTAAGTTTCTTCTCTCTTCTTTTCCTTTGAGTTGGGTGCCCTCCTTGGTATGTATGGATGAGGCTGATAAGTGGGGGAAACCTACAGTCAAGAGGAAAGATAGATAAGTTTTGGTATCTTTTCATACTGCAAAGCACTAAAGTTGGTTAGGTGTGCAGGCTTCCATTTGTATTAAGACTGTAAGGAGTGCCCCTGGTCATCACCATGTTTTAGTCTGTGTGATTATGAGGTTGGAGGCTTTACAAAAAGATGTAACAGAGGGTATTTATTGGTAGTATTCTGCCTCAGGATTCAGGTCTCAAGGAATATCTGGGAAGAGATGGCTTAGCAATATCAATTGTTGCTTTTGTACTTTATGAATCGTTCATCTGAAAGTGGCATGAAGAAAGGGCTTTTAGGTAGCATAGGACACTGCCAAGAAGCAGGAGATATTGCCTCTTTTTAGGATGTATCATAAGCAAGAAGAAAAAGTAAAACAAACAAATAAAAAAACCCTAAAATTGGAAAAGGAAAGGAGGAAAACTTTATTACTCGGTGCTGCTTTCTTTAATCTGCCTGCTTGTGAGTTCTGGTTTTGAACAATACTGCTAGGTGCACTGTGGGACTACACATTTGGAGTAGGGTTGGAAGAACATGAATCAGACAACTTGTTTCTTAGAGAGGGTGCTGAACTTTCCTAGGCCCTAGTTGGCAGCATCCCTTCTCCCTGTTAGTTGTGTTCTCTCTGTATCTCTCCATGAAATAACAAATCATTAGAAAAGACTTTTAACCTGAAGTGCCAAAGAACCCAAGGGAAAATGTTCTCTAGAGTGTGTTTGATTTGGGAGCCCCCTGAGGATAATTTGTGATGACACTGTTTCAGAAATCACCAGTTGGCTGGGGGAGGGTATAGCTCAAGTGGTAGAACACATGCTTAGCATGCATGAGATCCTGAGTTCAATCCCCAGTACCCCCATTAAAAAACCAAATAAGTAAACCTAATTACGTCCCCTCTGCAAATAAAAAAGAAAAGAAAAAAGAAATCACCACTTGGCTCACTGAGCAGAAGCAGCAGTCTTGACCTGAACATGTTCTTTGTACTTGCCCCATAATATGTGCAGGTCCTCTCTCCCTTTGGTTGGGAGCTCAAGGTCACTAACCGTGAGGCTGAGCAGTGGTAAAGGAGAACTCTTCTTACATACCAGTTAACCAGAATGTTAAAAGAATCTGTATGGGAACTGAGATTCCAAACATCTCTTTGATTTTTTTGGTGGAGGAGGAAAAGGACTCCTTTAGCAGGGGCTCATTATCACCTGCAGGACAAAATCCAAACTCATCATTTAAGACCTTTCATAATCCAGCCCAACTTTCTTTCTATAAAATTGTTTTAATCAAAATTATATTTATTCTTATTTTAAAAAGGTCAAATATTACTATGAGGCTTATAACAAAAAATAGTTCTTGTTCTATCCCTTCCCACCTCTGAGAACTGCTTCTAAGTCATTTAGCTGTTTCTTTTAGTATTTTCCACTGTACTTAAATATAATCTTGTACTAGTGATTCTTGATTTTTCAGTTTTAGGCATTATCTGCTGATGTTCTACTATAGGAAATTAGGGTTTTGTTCTTCCATTCCTGCCCCCTTTACCTACACACACACACACACACACACACACACTCACTCTCCTTCTTTCTATTGTCATACATTATTACCATTGCCTGGTGTTCAATATTTAGATGGTTACAATTATATAAATACTGTTTAAAACTGAGCCACACAGTATCCTATCATTACCTATCCTCTTTTGGCCAACTTTAAAATTTTTTTTCCTGGAATCAGTAATTGTTCTATTTTATCATTGTTTACTGTTCTGCGTACCTATCTCCCCACTCTCCTATGGGACTCTAAGACAACTCTCAGTATGTTGGAACATACCAAATATGGTTCAATATTTTCTTTGGAGACATCCCCCAAGAGCTTTCTGTTCTTTAACTCAAGCCTTTCGTAAGTATCACTCTGAGACTTCCCGTCACCATCATACTGGGAAATTCCTTCACCTCTCTTATGTGTTAGATCCCATGTTTCCTGGATCTCATGCAATAATTTTTCTTGGACTGTTTATCTCTTCGTTGGAAAATGTCTTAGACTAGCTTCCTGAGAAAGGATACATGAGAGGTTAATATTTTGAGTCTTTGCTTATTTGAAAGTATCTTTATTCTACTTTTCATTTGATGAAGAGTTTGGGTATAGAGTTCTAGATTACAGATGACTTTCCGTCAGAAGTTTGAAGGTGTTCCTCCTTCTGGCTCTGTTGCTGATGCGAAGTTCAGTGCCATTCTGGTTCCTGACTTTTGTTTGTGGTCTGTTTTCTTTTTGATAGCTATTAGGATTTTGTTTTTATCCCTGGTGTTCTGAAATATTATGGTGATGTGCATTGATGAAATCTTTTTTTACAGAGTTGGGTTCTCTGTGGGTCTTCTTTGCTTGAAAACACATCTTGCATTTACTAGTTCTTTGATAATTTCCTCTCTTCCATTTTCTCCTTCTGGTACTTCTACTAGTTGGATATGGACTCCATTGGTGGATCCTCTGTCCTCCTCTCTATATTTTCTCTATCTCTTTTTGTTCTAATTTATAGTGAACAAAAATTAGAAATTTTTGCTGTCATGTTTTTTATTTCTAAGCATTTTCCCCTTTATTCTCTGAATGTCCCTTTTTTATGGACTTGTTCTTGTTTTATAGCAATATTTCCTTTTAGGGCTCTTTGAGAATATCAATGACCACCCCCCTTCAATGTTTTCCTCCGCTTCCAATATTGTCTCTGTTTCAAACTGCTGTTTATTTGTTCATTTGGTTTCTCTCTTTCGTGTTAGAGACTCTCTTATGTCTGATGTTTCTTGGTGATGTTCATAATTAAGAATTAACCCCTAAAAAAGCTGATTGTTGACTGGTATGCTCTAATGAATGACCAGGTAGGGGAGGTCCATTTCCCCAGGGAGGAATTGGCCTGTTTCCTATTTAGCCTGGCAGCCAGAGCTCTGGGGTTGCCAAGCAGGACAATAGGGCAGGGGGAGGGTCTTGTTGTTCATTATGTCAAATTTCACTTAATACTCCTGTTTTCAGTGAGGCACCTTGCTTCTGACCTTATGAACCTGAAGACTTTCATCAGTCTGTGTTGCACCTCCCCCTGCAGCTCTCCTTCTCCTCCCCTCAAGCCTTCAGAGGTACCTAGTGCTTCCAGTTCCTGAGCCTTTCTGGAGTTTTGCAGCATTCTTGACCTTGTCTCTTACTGGTCCCCGTCCCCAACAAGCACTTAGCAGAAAGAGAAAGCTGAAATTGAAATTAGTGACCATTTATTTTTCCACTCTCCAGTTTATCAAACTTTTGCTGATTTTTTCATTCTTTTTTTCAGTGGTTTTGTGCCATTTTTATTCCTTTACTCTCATTTTTCTGAGGTTTCAGAAAGGAACAGAGGTAAATGTGCAT